TACCCAGGCTAGAGTGCAATGGCGCGATCTCGGTTCACCGCAACCTCCGTCTCCTGGGTTCAAGCAATTCTCCTGCCTCAGCCTCTCGAGTAGCTAGGACTACAGGCATATGCCACCATGCCCAGCTAATTTTTTGTGTATTTTTACCAGAGACGGGGTTTCACCATGTTGACCAGGATGGTCTTGATCTCTTGACCTCGTGATCCACCCGCCTCAGCCTCCCAAAGTGCTGGGATTATAGGCGTGAGCCACTGCGCCCGGCCTCAATTTTTTTTTTTTTTTAAGATGGAGTCTCATCTGTTTTCCAGGCTGGAGTGCAGTGGCATGATCTCAGCTCACTACAACCTCTGCCTCTCGGGTTCAAGTGATTCTCCTGCCTCAGCCTCCTGAGTAGCTGGGACTATAGGCACCCGCCACGGTGCTGGCTAATGTTTGTATTATTATTATTTGAAATGGAGTCTCACTCTGTTGCCCACCCTGGAGTGCAATGGCACAATCTTGGCTCACTTCAACCTCCACCTCCTGGTTTCACATGATTCTCCTTCCTCAGCCTCCCGAATAGCTGGTATTACTGGCATGCACCACCATGCCTGGCTAATTTTTGTGTTAGTGGTAGAGATGGGGTTTCTCCATGTTGGTCAGGCTGGTCTCGAACTCCCGACCTCAAGTGATCCATCTGCCTTGGCCTCCCAAAGTGCTAGGATTACAGGTTTGAGCCACCATGCCCTGTCTTTTTTTTTTTGCATTTTTAGTAGAGGCAGGGTTTCACCACATTGGCCAGGCTGGTCTCAGAGCCATCACTCATAAGCTACCACTCCCAGCCTGAAGTTGAATTTAGGCCTGTAAATTTGAATTTAAAAAATTTGAATCTTTGGCCAGGTGCAGTGGCTCATGCCTGTAATCCCAAAGTTGAGGTCAGGAGTTCAAGACCAGCCTGGCCAACATGATGAAACCCGCCTCTACTAAAAATGCAAAAAAATTAACTGGGTGTGGTGGTGGGTACCTGTAGTCCTAGCTACTCAGGAGGCTGAGGCAGGACAATCGCTTGAACCTGCGAGGTAGAGGTTGTAGTGAACAGAGATCATGCTACTGCACTCCAGCCTGGGTGACAGAGTGAGACTAACTCTCAAAAAAAGAAAAGAAAAGAAAAAAGACAAATAGTAAATCAAGTATCAGACCCATTATAACTTGACTTTAGTAGACTTTGTTTAAACTACTCCTTAAAAATAAACATCATTACCAAATAAGTACTTGGGATTTTATTTTTTTTATTTTTTTATTTTTATTTTTTTTGAGACAGAGTTTCGCTCGTGTTACCCAGGCTGGAGTGCAATGGCGCGATCTCGGCTCACCGCAACCTCCGCCTCCTGGGTTCAGGCAATTCTCCTGCCTCAGCCTCCTGAGTAGCTGGGATTACAGGCACGCACCACCATGCCCAGCTAATTTTTTGTAGTTTTAGTAGAGACAGGGTTTCACCATGTTGACCAGGATGGTCTCGATCTCTTGACCTCGTGATCCACCCGCCTCGGCCTCCCAAAGTGCTGGGATTACAGGCTTGAGCCACCGCGCCCGGCCTGTACTTGGGATTTTAAAAACTCAGCTCCGAATTCAGTAACATTCTGTTTAATAATATCCACTTCTAAAAGACAAAGCAAAAAATATAATCTACAATCATCAGCACTCAAACAGTTTGGAAGGTAGTTTCTTTTTGGTTTTTGTTTTTTTGTTTTGTTTGTTTGTTTGTTTTTTGAGGGAGTCTTGCTCTTGTCACCCCGGACCCAGGCTGCAGTGCAATGGCAATGGCACAATCTCAGCTCACTGCAACCTCTGCCTCCTGGATTCAAGTGCTTCTCCTGCCTCAGCCTCCTGAGTAGCTAGAATTATAGGTGCGTGCCACCATGCCTGGCTAATTTTTGTATTTTTAGTGGAGAGCGGTTTTGCCATGTTGGCCAGGCGGGTCTTAAACTCCTCACCTCGTGATCTGCCCACCTTGGCCTCCCAAAGTGCTGAGATTACAGGTGTGAGCCACTGCGCCCAGTCTGGAAGGTGTTAAAATCAGGTCAATGCACTGATTTGTATTTGGAAGGAATTAAATAGGATATAACTTTAGGAAGAACACAAATGGATAGTGTATTATAAAAATAAGTATGCATTTATTACAAACATATTTCAGAAAAATATGCCAACTAAAACATAATTAGTTTTGACAACAGGCTACTGGAAAAAGTGTGATGAGGAATATTATACCCACTTCTTCAATTATACCTCTGGTTATGTTGAAAAATGTCAGCAGTTCTGAGGACTTTTGACATGCCTATGGATTTATGGCATGATTTGCCTTTCATATTATATTGACTTCCAACTTTATTTTTTTCTTTTTCTTTTTTTTTTTCTGTTGCTATAACATGACTTCCAATTTTAAAATTATATTTTATGATTGCGAATCAAATGCATATCCTAGGAAAATTTCTTTTTTTTAAGAGATGGAATCTGGTTCTACTGTGTGTGCCAACATGCTGGGCTGATTTATTATTATTGTTCATATACATATTTTTCCTTTTGTTTAGATTCAGGGTTTCACTACGTTGCCTGGGGTGGTCTACAACTCCTGGACTCAAGCAGACCTCCCTCCTCAGCCTCCTGAGAAGCCACTGTGCCCACCATTATTCTATCCTAGTATTTTATCTTTTTTGTTATTGTTGTTGTAGAGGTGTTATCAACCGTTTAAACTCTCAAAAGACCAAATTGTCTTTAAATTTTTTTAAAGAGAAGATATCCATCCAAGGTTTTTCAACATTGCATCTTTGTCCTCCTTGCTGAAAAAAGGGTAGAGTAAGTAATGTTTAATTAATACTGAATTTTTTTTAATATGCGAAAATCTAACTCTGCTTTTTAAAGCAAATAGGAGGCACAATATGGCATCATTCCAATAATCAAACACCAATAAAAATGGCAGCAGTACAACAATCTAAGCAAACCTCAAATATAGCATACTTATAATCAGAACACAATGCAATGATTTGATTTTAGCAACAAGACACTTAATTTGGTAAAAGAAACCAAATAATGCATTATATTGAATACTAAGCTACCATAATTAGTCTTACAAATTTTCCAATTTCACAGCTACTTTTGAAAATCTAAATTTAAACCTAAATTTTTAAATTAACTGCCTGTTCAACAAAGCTAATTGGAGCAAACACATTCATGTAAATTTACGTTATAGAATACCAGAGTAAACAAGGAGATGTTATTCAAAGATGAATGAGAAAGTTCTATTCTTTTTCATCATCTGTGTGATCAGGTTGCAAAGGACATGCTCTGTGAAAAGAAGAGAGAATATCAATAGCCATCCAAGTATCAACTGTTGGAAAAAAATAGTTACAAACCTATAAAAATCAGGAACATTAACAGTGCAGTAGATCTGGTCAAATGACTAGAAATGAAAGAAAATTAAACTTCATTAATTAACAAACACAAATTTCAAATATTAATGCAACAAAATTTTTAACAATTTGCCTGTTAATTTGCAGAATCTGTGTTTCTCCTTTAGACTACGTTGTCATTTTTGTTAAAAAGGTAATTAATTCATTTATATAGCATATTCTTTCAATCCATTTTATTAAATGGATTGATAAACAATATAATCCTTCAGCAAGAACTTTGGGATAACAAAAAGAAAAAAAAAATTAATCAATCCAGACCAGACACGGTGGCTCACACCTGTAATCCCAGCACTTTGAGAGGCTGAGGTGGGCGGATCACGAGGTCAAGAGATCAAGACCATCCTGGACAACATGATGAAACCCCATCACTACTAAAAAAAAAAAAAAAATACAAAAGTTAGCTGGGCTTGGTGGTGTGCACCTATAGTCGGAGCTATTTTGGAGGCTGAGGCAGGAGAATTGCTTGAACCCAGGAGGTGGAGGTTGCAGTGAGCCAAGATTGAGCCACTGCACTCCAGCCTGGGTAACAAGAGGGAAACTCCATCTCAAAAAAAAAAAAAAATTAACCAATCCACTTTAGCAGAGAAAACATATAGCAAGTTGTCATTTGACTATATGTAACTCTTTGAACCATATGATTAAATTAACTAATTAGGAAAAACCCGAAAATTGGCAAGGCACAGTGGCTTACACCTGTTATTCCAGCACTTTGGGAGGATGAGGCAGGAGGATTACTTGAGCCCAAGAGTTGGAGACCAACCTGGGCAACATTGTGACACCCCCATCTCTACAAAAAAATAAAAAATCAGGCCGGAGTCAGTGGCTCACACCTGTCATCCCAGCACTTTGGGAGGCCAAGCTGGATGGAACATTTGAGGTCAGGAGTTTGAGACCAGCCTAGCCAACATTGTGAAATCCCATCTCTATCCATGCCCAGAGTTGTTGAAAGAAAAAACAACAACAAAAAAAAAATAAAAATAATAAATCCCATCTCTACTAAAAATACAAAAATTAGCCAAGTGGTAGTGGTGTATGCCTGTAATCCCAGCTACTTGGGAGGCAGGAGAATCACTTGAGCCTGGGAGGCAGAGGTTGCAATGGGCTGAGACCGCACCATTGCACTCCAGCCTAGGCAACAGAGATCCTGTCTCAAAAAAAACTAGCTGGTCATGGTGTTCCAGCTACTCAGGAGGCTGAGGCAGAAGGATCACTGAGCCCAGTAGGTCAAAATGGCAGTGAGTCATGATAGATCGTGCCACTGTATTCCAGCCTGGGAAACAGAGCAAGACTCTGCATCCAAAAAAAAAAAAAAAGAAGAAAAAGGAAAAGCCCCAAAATTGTTTGTTAGCATAGAATAGTTGTAGCTTTTGAAAAAAAATTTACATTATTCCCCCCAAAAAATCATTTTGTATTCATGATACTTGTGTGTGTGTGCGTGTGACAGAGTCTCACTCTCTCGCCAGGCTGGAGTGCAGTGGTGTCATCTTGGCTCACTGCAACCTCTGCCTCCCGGGTTCAAACGATTCTCCTGCCTCAGCCTCCTCAGTAGCTAAGATCACAGGCGTGTGCCACCATACCTGGCTAATTTTCGTAATGAATAATTGTTAATATTTTATATGCTTTCATATGTCAATTACTTTGTTTTAATTGGTCTTTCAGCCATTTATTTTTATCTAGTTTGTTTCCAATGCAAACGCAATCGAAACACAACATACAATCCAAAATAGATGTAACAGATACAGAGTGTACAAATAAGCAAAAGGGACTGTTCAGTCACGCATACCATAGGTCAAGATCTGTTAGATCTTCTTGTTCTCATATAAGTTTCTAAAGATAGCAAATATTGGCTTAAGACTTACTAAAGCTACTACGGCCATATGGGATACAGGAACAACTAAGCATCAGTGCGTGACCATGTGAACCAAAGATTTCATGGAGTGTCCTTTTTTTTTTTTTTTTTTTTTTTTTAAATAGAAACACAGTCTGGCTCTGTCACCCAGACTGGAGTTCAGTGGCACAATAATAGCTCACTACAGCCTCAAATGCCTGGGCTCAAGCAATCCTCCCATCTTAGCCTTCAGAGTAGTCAGGACTACATGGACAGCTAATTTTTTTTTTTTGATAGACACATGGTCTTATATGTTGTCCAAGCTAGTCTCGACCTCCTGGGCTTAAGCAATCCTCCCGCTTCATCCTCCCGAAGTGCTGGGATTACTGGTGTGAGCCACCATGTCTATTTCTTTCTTTCTTTTTTTTTGGAGACAGATTCTTGCTCTGTTGCCCAGGCTGGAGTACAATGGCACAATCTGGGCTCACTGCAACCTCTGCCTCCCAGTTTCAAGCGATTCTCCTGCCTCAGCCTCTGGAGTAGCTGGGATAACAGGTGTCCACCACCACGCCCGGCTAACTTTTTTTATTTTTAGTAGAGACAGGGTTTTGCCATGTTGGCCAGGCTGGTCTTGAACTCCTGACCTCAGGTGATCCGCCCACCTTGGCCTGCCAAAGTGCTGAGATTACAGGCATAAATCACTGCGCCCAGCCTGGAGTCTCTATTTCAAAAAGGCTTCTATATATCAAGGCAGTTGTAAAAGCTTTGCTTATTAGAATTATGTCCACTTACGGTTAGGCCCAGGCTCTATCTAAAAATATTGACTAATATAGAAAGTGTCCCAAATGTAGCCAATCAGACTCATAAAGTTTTTTTTTTTTTTAAGTATTTACAAAAAGAGCACAAAAGCATTGAGAATTTAATGCAGACAAATTTCTGGTCCTTACTTTGCAAATACAGAACTAGATTTGTTATTTTGCTTATATCATTTTTTGTTTTTGTTGTTACTGAGATGAAATCTTACTCTGTTGCCCAGGCTAGAGTGCAATGGTGGGATCTCGGCTCATTACAACCTCTGCCTGCTGAGTTCAAGTGATTCTCCTGCCTCAGCCTGCCGATTAGCTGGGATTACAGGTACACGCAACCACACCCAGCTAATTTTTGTATTTTTAGTAGAGATGGGGTTTCACCATGTTGGCCAGGCTGGTCTTGAACTCCTGACCTCAGGTGATCCGCCTGCCTTAGCCTCCCAAAGTGCTGGGATTACAGGCATGAGCCACCATGCCTGGCCCACCTTTTAATTTCAAGATTAATCAAATATGGCTTCAAAACAGATCAATTTTTTTTTGAGACAGAGTCTTGCTCTATTACCCAGGCTAGAGTGCAGGGGTGCAATCTTGGCTTACATCAACCTCCACCTCCCAGGTTCAAGTGATTCTCATGCCTCAACCTCCTGAGTAGCTGGGATTACAGGTGTGTGTCATCACACCCAGCTAATTTTTGTATTTTTAGTAGAGACAGAGTTTCACCATGTTGCCCAGGGTGGTCTCGAACTCCTGGCCTCAAAGTGATCCGCCTACCTCAGCCTCCCAAAGCGCCAGGATTACAGACATGAGCCAATGCCCCTGGCCCAGATCAAGTATTTTAACCTACCTCCTGCATTAAAAAAAAGATCAATTTTAAAGTTGTAAAAATTATTCAACATGTACAAAGTCTCCTTTTAATTTCAAGATTAATCAAATATGCCTTCAAAAGAGATCAATTTTTTAACCTACCTTCTGTACAAAAAAAAAATCAATTTTTAAGTTGTGAAAATTATTCGATATATACTAATATAAAAAGGCAGTATTTTAAGATTAGTTGAAGTCAATGCACTTCTAATATTTGGAATCAAGGTAAGTACAGTAACTACATAAATCTGGCATTCTTGTTGAATTGGAATGGGTGATAGGAAATGCCTACTCTTTCACTTTTAAGTGTATATGCAAGAATTAATCATGCTTGGTTTGGAGTAGATTTCAGTCTATCATTGCTCTGGCACATTTCAATTACCACATAGAAAGTAAAATGTAATGGCAAATCCAAAGCCCTAAAGAGTTAAGCGCCCAAAAGAAGAGTAAAAGCTTAGCAATGTAAATCTAGAGCATATCAGCATTAAATTAGGATGGCTGAAACAATACATAGAATATTTACAGTAACAACTGGTAGTTTCTTCCAATGCACATATATAATAAATAGAATCATGAAAGCTTTCTATATTACCTAATCATTTTACAGCCTTTTAGATTGAACAAACTAAAATGAATACTGAGTCTCCATTCCATAGCTCATCCTTTTTCTCTAGACGAAGGTGAAATTATTATTATCAAAAAAGTGGTTTTTTTTTTCAGGATAGAGTTTTAAGTGTCCGTATTTCTTTTTTTTTTTTTTCTTTTTTCTTTTCACGAGATGTGATGGTTTTAAAAGTGTCCATATTTCTTAAGCCACATTTAATGAACTTGTTAACTAATTTTTGATGTTATCTTTCTTCTCTGTCTTATATATGAAACTCCAACAGATTTAATATTGGCATTTATCATCTAGTCAAATCCTTCAAATGCTCTTTAAACCAGTCCAGTTTGAAACTCTCAAGCATTTCTCTCTTAATAAAATAAGGAGTGAAATTAGTAGATTTGATGAAGACCTGGTTTTTTCCTTGCCATACTGAACTTCCAGGCACCATTCGAACTGGGTTTTAGACTATGAGTTGGAGAACTACAGCTATTTCTTGACCTGTGTCTTAATGGTAGAGATGTAGAAGGGCAAACAAGACCATAAGGAGACTGGCTACAGGCTGTAGGCCACTGTGGGAGGGCTTTGTGGTCTCAGCTGCAGTAGCTTCCATCGTGCTGGTTAAAGGAACAAATGGAGCAGCAACCCAAGACTCAGCATGACCACCATCCCCTTATCCATGTGGGTCGCTGTGTCATGTGTCCAGGTGCTGCTCACAGTGCTGGAGGATGGGTGGCTCCTGGCTGGTGCATGGGAGGCAGCAAGTAGGGTCTTAT